GCTACTATTGTTACTACTACTACTACTACTACTACTTCTTCTTCTTCTTCTTCTACTTCTACTTCTACCCATACTTCTACTTCTACTTCTACCTCTACCACCACCACCACTACCACTACTACTCCTACTACTACGACTACTACTACTACTGCTACTGCTACTACTACTACTGCTACTACTACTACTGCTACTACTACTACTACTAGTACTAGTACTACTACGACTACTACTACTACTACTACTACGGCTACGACTAGGACTACTACTACTACTACTACTAGCTACTAGCTACTAGCTACTAGCTACTAGCTACTAGCTACTAGCTACTACTCCTGCTACTGCTACTACTACTACTACTACTACTACTATCACTACTACTACTACTACTCCTACTACTACTACTACTTTTACTACTACTACTACTCCTACTACTACTACTACTCCTATTACTACTACCACTACTACTACTGTGATATTTTTTTATCTAAATTATTTTTAAAATGATCTCCTCAAACAATTTTTTTTGATCCCTATCATTTTTTTTTTGATCCTTCACCCGGGTCCACATGGACGTCTTGTTCCATGTTCAGTGTTGGGTCCAAAAAGTTGAGTACCTTTGATCACCCAGAGAGTTTCTATTTTGAATGGATCCTATCGGGAGCTGGGCAGGATCATACCAGTGAATCCCCTCCAGGAAGGCACCAACAGGAAGAACGCAGGGCACAATGCGGGACATCAAAAAGAGGAGGTCTTGGTCTTCATGCGTCTTCCATGCGTTTGCACCCCCTTTCAGTGAGGAATTTGTTGCCACTCTGCTTGCTGGATGAGTTACGACGAGTGTCGACTTCGACTTCCACTCGACTTTGACATCCGCGAAGATCATCCACGTCCACATGGGTTGTGTATTCAAATGTTTTTTTGAAAACAGGGAGAAATTCGACCCCCCCTGGGCAAGGTTCGGGAGACATAGCGCTGTGTCCCTTTTGCATGTTCTTTTTAACCTTTCACCCCCCCGGTATCCCCGAAGCCAACGGGTGTACCGCTGAGGTCCGTTTCAGAGCTTTTAGACCGGCTCGGGTTTGATCGACCAGTCTACCCCTCGGTCTACCCAGCGAGAGGGGCTTCCTATTGGGGCGAGAAGGGGTGTCCTTCTAAGGAACCTCCTCCCCGTTTCGCCAGGAGACCGGCGAAACCACCTGGGAGCGACCCGAGGACGGGTTGTTGGGGTGGCCGGGCGCGTCTGGGTGGCCAGCAGGTCGTCAAAGCTTTGGACGTTCATTTTTTGGGGTGATGAAGATGAAGATGATGAGGATGAGGATGATGGTGATGCTGGTAGTTCGTTTGAATGTCCCATATGATTCTTCGAACAGAGGACACCAAAACGAGCGTCATCCATTGATCTCCAGTCCTTCACCCCCAAGAAGCACCGAACGGACCTCACACCCCGTAGAGGCTGAACGATTGGACATTCAGATGGCACAATCCCAGGAAGCTGGTTGATACAGATCCACCCAGACTACTCCATTTCATCTGAACGAAAGATAGGGGGGTCGTCCACACACTGCGACGACCATCTACCTGGCGAGTTGGTGTGCCAACCTCCCAGTCCAGTCGAAGCACAAGCTCAGTGTAGTGTAGCTGCTCCTTGAGCCATTCTCACGTGGGGACGTGCTTGTTGACTGCACTCGCCTGTAGCCTGTAGCGGCGAAGGAACCGCTGCTTTTGGCAGAGGGTTCACTGCCGTAGTGAATTCGACACTCAGCCAGCTTTAGCTTGTGCGTTACAATAGAATCATATAGTTTCTGCATGCTGAAGAGCCGCTTTTCGCAGGCACATGGCCAGATACAAGAAGCTACTAGACTAGTAGCAAGGACGCTATTAGGTGGAGGCCATCGTGTTTGCAGGTTGGAGGCCATTACTGCTAGTAACAAGAAGCTACTAGGGGAAGTGGCACATGGCCATATACTGTAGCTATCTGTAGCTTGATTCCCTTCAAAGTTTTATAGTTACCCCGTTACATCACAGTGCATCGCCTTGTTTTGTCATTGCCCATGAACTGAACCTATCCCATGAGCAAACTTTAAAACAATTAAGGCATAAAAAGGCGGTACAATATCCATGCACCTTGCACATTAGGACACATGTTTGCTGAGTCTCCTTTTTTGGGACCTGCCTACAGGTGTTGGTCCAGCCATCTGCCCCACACCCATCGGACGGCCCTATGACCGGCCGCGCAGGCGAAGATGCCGCCGCCGGCGCCTTGGACGCTGCAGGAGCATCCCGAGGCGGCTTGGTCGTGTGGACGGGGCGGTGGGGGGCCACCATCTAGTGGTCTAGGTAGGGGTCATCTGAAAAGAACAAGAGCTAGCAGCCAACGTCCTCCGGTCCACCCGACTACCATACATTCAGATCGCAGGCACACCGATGACTACTGATCGTGAACGGCTGGGTCTCTTGAAGTGGATCAAGTGACACATGGTCCGTTGGATGAAGACATCACACAGCACACAGCGAAGTCAAACGGACCAATTCCTTCCCGTTGGATTTGGAACGCATGTGACATTGGTTGTGCCGGTGGAGCACTCTGAGCACCTGACTGTGGTGTTCATTCTTTTTCAGTTCTGGCACTGCCTAAGAGCTGAAGACACAGCGATCAACAGCGGTGGATGTCCATCTCCCAAGAGACAGAGGGAGACTTGGTTTTCAGAATCCAACACATCGAGCAATACACACACGAGCCCCTGTTGGAAACGGGAATAACAACCACCCCAATGGTCTTACAATATATTCCCTCAATGTATGTTGTTGTGTATAAATATATATACCTGTATGGAATATCTCATACATTGACCCCGACCCCAACCTTCAACCACCCCAACTGAACGGTATATAAAATATGCCAGTCCCACAGGGAGTGTCTGGGAATAATTAGACTAATAGCATGTTTTCGAGTGACCGAGCCAATTTCTGGCGTGAGTTGAGTTATTGACTTCCCTGGTCCCTCATTTTGCTTGTGTATTTTTTGGGGGGTGAGAGTAAGCAGCATGGCAGGCCCCCCCCTTGTGGACCAGGTCGAGTTGTTTTCTGGACCAGGTCAAGTAGTTTTCTTCTTTTAAAGATGTGTGTGGGGGTTAGGGAGCAACTGATGTTTGCCGCTGCTGCTTGACCGGTTTTGCCAAGAAAGCAAGGGTTGGACAGTTGATGCAATTTGAAGTCAGATCTAAATAGTGTGTTAACTTATGCTAGTTAAACTCCATTCTTTGGGAGGGAACTTGTTTTTTTTTGGGTCCCTGACTGTCAGGCCCCTGGAGAGTTTTACTTCCTCAACGAGGCACGACCCCCTGTTCCCCGGGACTGGCACCCGATGCCACGGAGCGACGTTTTCCACGTCTGTCAGCCACAGAGCCAGGACCAAGTAGGATGCCAAATGAAAACAGTTTCAGAACACTTGGTTTTTAGCAGACACGGATTTCTTTTGGCCTCATGTGCAGTTTTTTGGTGGTTTGCTTTTCTTTTTTTTTCGTGAGGCTGGGTGAGGTTTTTGTGTATGTATGTTTGGGTTTGGATATCTTCCTTCAAGAGTGCAACCGTCTCTCAGTATATATTCAGAATTTCTAGTCCAACAAGCAACAAGGGGTACTATAGTGACACTTGCAAGTGGAGAATGCTTTCGCCACGGCGAAGTGCGCTTAACTACCCCTATGTTAAATTCTGGGTTTGGGTAGGTTTGGGAAGGTCTGGGTGGTGCGTGGGGTGGTGCACGGGTTGCCCGGCAATTTTGTGGTGCGCGGGGTGGTGCAGAAGGTCGTACGGGATCTGCAAACACCAATGGCCAATGTTAGAACTTTTTAAGGCCATTAAAAGCCTATTGATTACAACATAGTCTTGTCTTGGTGTCCGCGCGGATCCAAAAACCGCGAGGAACCGCGTGGAACCGGATTCTACTTCTACCGCTATAAATTTGCTTGTAGACGCCGGCCGTGTTGTCTGCGCACCGCCTCACGCACCACCCCGCGCACCACCCCGCGCACCACCCCGCGCACCACCTCCACACACCCCAGGGCTCCAAAAGCGCAAAACTAGTTAAGCGCACCAAGCTTGCGTCAAAGAATGCTTGTCTTCCGAAGACAAGTCCCCTTTTCCACGTTTCTTTTGGTGGGAAGATTTGATGAATCTCAATGGGTTTAAGTAGGGAGACCTTATCATTTCGACACCCTGGAAGATGGAAAATAGAGGGAACATAGGCCGTATTTCAATACAGACACTCTTTGGATCCGACGAAACCTGGGACCTGGATCTTCTCCGACCGTTGGGAGTGAGACCGTCCCAGGAGACGGGCGTGACCTGTTGGGAGCTCCCGGAGAACGAACGCTGAACGTCCCGAAGGATCGGAAAATGAACGCTGCTGGATCAGAAGCCAAAGACCGGATCTGGGATGGGGATGGAGGGTGATCCGAAGAAGTAGCCAGCTTCGGTATTGGACGTGGACTTTAATGGGTGAAGATTCCCATCTGTGGCTGTTCGTCTAGGGTCTTTAGGATGTGAACGTTCAAGGCCAGAAATATAGCACGGGGAAGGCTGTTGTGGGGGATGAAGCAGCGTTTCACAGTGAATCAGAGAAGGAGAGCCCCAATGTATCCCAACGTGCTCGACATTTGCTGTTCATTTTTCCGGCTCCTAGCTGCCAGCAAGGAATGACCGCAATGAATGAGCCCAGATGGGTTATGTTATATGTAAGTCTCAACATCTCCCCGAATCTGTGGGGAGCATGGCTAAGCGGCAGAGTGCCTGCCCAGTCGAGTAGCACCATGGCACAGCATGAGCGCATGGGCTTGGGAGCTAAGTATTGATGAGCCCAATCTTCGACGACCGACGACAGAGTCCACAAAATGCTTCAACTCACCAGTCACCAGTTGTGAAAATACTGATCAGTGCAAGTGATCTCTACTTCACTGAAAACTGTCAGCATCCTCAAGTCATCAAGCCAATCCACAGATTCCCAGGGAATCTCTCCCGAAGAGAACGGTTGCTTCCTTGGTCTGTGCAGTCTGAGCCATGGCAGCGAGCCCCGACGGCAGACCTTGACGAAGTCAGGCCGGTCGGGTTCGACTTGGATCGTCAGGCAGGCGAGGCACAGCTAGTCCTCGTCCGTGGCACAGCTCGTCCGTGGCACAGCTCGTCCGGTGCACAGCTCGTCCGTGGCACGTCCGTGGCAAGACGGTTTTTGTCCGTGAGCAATGAGATCCAAAGACATGCATTGAGCAACTCAATTGGATTACGTGGGCGCATGATTTGGGAGTTGTCCTCGTCCCTGTAACGCGAGGGTTGGAGCGTCTTCACGGCAGTTGAGATTCTTTACCCAGTGAGTCGTTATTTTGGCCAAGAGGGACAACATCCAGGATTAAACACAGTCGCTTCGACCTGCTGCCAGCAACTGTGTTTAGGAGGCATGATTTGCGGGGAGGTCTTCCCTCTCACCCTTTTCAGTTGGGTGACCGATGTATCACTGATTTGATCACCGTTTTTTTGGGGACCTACAAATGATCCAAGCTACGAAAGCTGCAGGTCTTCAATTTGCCAGGCCCAGAGAGACGGCATGGCTGTTGGTTTTTGGTTCATGTGGTCCACACGGGTGTCGGTTGCATGGTTTAGCCCGCCGTTGAAAGCGCTCCGTGAAGGGAACAAGTCAGTAGCCCCATTGGTGTTGTCAGATATCAGGGACTGGAGAAGACCAGTTTTATTGTTTCTTGGTGTTGGTGCTTCGCCTTCCCATAGTTTGGTCTCCAACTCAAAGTAAGATGCTTTGCATGCATTGAGTGCACAAATTGGTGATGGCAAATCATGGATCAACTCAACCTTTGGGGTAGCACCTCTCATCATCCATTGCTATGCGTTTGTGTCCACCGATCACCTCCCCTCCACCACTCCCAGGGTCACCCGACTCCGTCACCCGCGGTCTCCGACCGGTGACCTGAGCCCGACCGGGTGTGGCGCCGACCGGAGACCGCGGTGGAGGCCATGCAGTCCAACACCGTGGGGTCTCGAATTCCGCCTCCCTGGGCTGAGGCGGGGGGTTGGGGATGCGTGTGCTTGGCGTGGTCGGCGCAAGGGCCTTGGGCGGTAGCGAGGGTTGAAGCGAGTCACATGAGAAAAGTCAGCCAGAAAGGTGGAAAGACCGAGGCCCTCCAGTGTTTGAGACACCGCCTTTGAGGCTCTTCCGATCCATAAAGAAAAATCCGCCAACCCTTGGAACTCTGCCCGGGTCCACCCCGAGGGCCCTGAGGTCCAAGGCGTAGCCCAGCGTAGCCCAGCGGATGGTCCTCGAGCGGCGGTCCGAGGGGGTGCGTCAGTTGGCAGTCAGCCAAGTGAACACACTTGAAATCTCTTGAAATCCTGAGACTCTTTGTTTTGATACATCAGCCTAGGGGTCCCCCAAGAAGGCTCGCGGGCCACTAATCATTGGAGAGATTCTTTTGCTGCTAAATATATACTGGTATTGCTTTGCGAGGTTCGTGCGTGGTTTGAGGATTGACCAGTCCTTACCTATGCCTGGGAAGCACCAATAGAACCGTCACCCTCACTGTGCCTGCTTTGGGGGGCAGAGGGGTCTGGTGCAGTGGGCGAGGTGGCGCTGTCCATTTATGAGCTCCATGGCGCTTCAGCTTTGAACGTCCTCACAAGGGCTGCCAACATGGGAGGCAGGGGGCACTCGAGCAAAAGAGTGTTGCTTAACTGACTGTTGATGGATTGAAAGGGACTTGGAAGGATACTTGCATTTGTTTGCTAGGTTTCCGAGTCTTGTCCTTTTCGTTTAATACGTTTGATTGATGCTTGGTCAGGTTCCTTAGATCTCAAAGGGAGGAAAACACGGTGAGTCAAAGCCAGACGCCGCTCGTTCGCGCGATGGCCGTGGAAGTGTCCATCGCGATGTCCGGTGCGCCTTAGGCCATCGCTATTAAAATGGATACGAACAGGCATCCTCATGGCTGTGGATGTTCAGTGTTCGATGTGCGATTCTTTTCATTCGGGGTCAAGCGGTCAAACACGCGACATTCGAGATTCGTGCTGGTGTTAATTGCCGATGCTTACAGTATTTCTTACTTACCAAGTTTCCAAATCCCACTGGCATTTATGTTGAATGGAAAGTGCGGATTTCTCTAAGCCTTTCCCCCCAGGGTTTCAAGGCGCATCGACTCTATGATACTCTATGTTTCATGTTTGGCACCACCAGCTATGAATCTGGCGTTGAGTTACCCAGCGAATTGGTTCAATCTTGGAGGGATCCCCAAGACTAACTAAGCATGAGCAAAACATGTCTTTGGATGGGGTTGGGAACAGTTGAACGAATAGATTAATTATGATTAATTTATGTGATAAGGGTTGGTGAACAATCCAGCAGGAGACAGATGGGTCGATTTAATTGGGGTGCTGCATTTGGGGCAGCACATGGCTAGATCAAAGGTGCTTAGTATTGCGGAGAAAAACTACGTATATAGGCTGTTTTATTGGGGCTTCCTTAATGCCAGGTTCCCTTGCACATATGGTCATTCAGTTGTATCTCTTTGGCGATGTCCATGACCCTTCTCCTAACAGCTACACTAGGTTGGTCATGGGTGGTGGACTTCATTGCACCCGGTCCGGCCCCGCTTCGTCGCTTGGGACACATCGACGATTCATACAGTGGATTGGGACTCCGGATCATTGATCATGTTTCTGAAGAAGAACAGCTCTTCACGACCCTTTGTTGGCAGGGTCAAGTCTAGGATGATCAAATAGATTAGATAGGATAGTGTCTTCTGATTTCTGAACGCAACACAAGTTTTTGGACTCTAGAAAGATCAAGTCCAACACGCGTGATCAAGGGCTATGTTTCCACCAGACATTTGTTTGAGTAGATTTCCCAAACTTCGGGTTGAGCAGTCCACCTTGCGACTTCTTATATTTCCCATGCTTGCCATGCTTTTTCGTGCTTTGGCTGGTCGTTTCACAGCGGCGACCAGCACCCGGCCTGGAGGTGCTTATCATGTGGGCGTGGAGGTGCTTATCCTCGTGGTCCGTGCAGCGGAGTGCGACCCAAATGCTATGGGGGAAGAAGAATGGCTGTTTAGCCATAACCAAACGCTGGCGAACTGCTATGGCGAAGGAACTGGCAAGATGATGTGTTGTGCCGTTGGTGCCGTTGGTTTTCTTTGGGTGTGATCAGTGCTCGAGAACTTGGCGTGGCCCAAGTTCTCCAAATTCCTGAAGGCAACCCTTGGGTGAAGGGGCCTCTGGCTGGGACGGCATGGATCTCTGACCTACTGTACTGTTGACTGATGATCAATCAAACTGTACATCCCAGTACTGTCGGCATTTGTTGATCCATAAAGGCACCCAATAGTAGGGATGTAGAGAATTCAAATATACCTTCCGTCAGAGAAGCAGACCCCTTTTGTAGAGGACAATGGTCGAAACCGAACTGATTCTTTCAAGGAGTGTAGTCTTGGGCCCATGGATCCCCAAGGCCATGGGATCGTACCAGAGGATTTTTCGGCTCGCGGAGCTCGCGCTAGGTGTATTGGCTGGAATGGTCCTTTGGCTGGTGCGAAGAAGGCAGTGGAGTCTACATGGTGGGGATGCCAAGATTGCATATCCGTTAGATGCCCTTGGTATCCGTTGGATTCTGTTAGTAGATTCTTGGTAAGAGGATGTACTGTAAGACATTTGCAAACTCCCAAACTAGCCCTTTCCAGGATCAGCAGCCGCTTATTTCAATCTTTCAAATTACGTGCTGGCAAAGCCTGGACCTTTTTTCCCTACCCCGCACCCCCACTTTTAGCACTTCCGCGCACGGCCATCGGCATCATCGGTTCGTGTTCTTCTCTTGGGACTGGAAGCATCAGATAGGACCTCCGAATCATGCTTTTGAGTTCTTTTTTCACCCTCACCATCCGAACACCCTCATCCCCTCATCCTCACCCTCACCTTCACCCTCCTCCAGAGGGGAGCTGGTAGGCTAGCTCCAAACTCCCAGCATAACGGATCTTCTCCGAGGTCTTTCCCGGCCAGAGCAGCTTGGGCCAATTCCGCGAGCGGGTGCCCTTGGGCCGCACGCCGCTGACGCCTCAGGAGGCCGATTCCGGTTCAGGCGGAATCTGGTACACCTCCCAGTCGGGGTGGTTAATGGACATCCCGAATCACAGCTGTTCGGGGCTATAGATAGACACCCCGACAGGAGGGTCCTGGTCTGTGGATGCTGGGATTGTTGGATGGTGTAGAATCTTCTATCAACAGCAGGCTGAGAGCCTTTTGTTCATAGAGGAATGTACTGTAGATTCTTTGTTAAGCATCCGAAGACATCAAGGCAGTTCTCATGTTGTTCTGAGAGAATATCTAATTTGTAAGGAGTCGAGGGAGGTGGCTGGCAGGTGTGCTTTCTTGTGTGATCTTTTTGGTGGTGGCTTGGTCCATGTGTTCTTTTGGAAGGAATGGCGGTGTTGTTGTTTTCTATCAGCTTCTCTTATTGATTCCCACCATTTTCAGACTTGTCTAGTTTGAATGGCGGGCAAGCTGAGCTTAGCTCGGGCTGAATCCACGATGTTCCCTTCGCCACTCGAAAGATAACCTTTAACCCGCAGCCTCCTCTTATCTAAGTTCTGAGAGAACCAGGTCATGTAAGAGACCAGGGTAGCTCAAGTGCAGAATTTTGTTGGTTCTTCGGACCACTGCTATCACCACCAAGATCTCAACGGTGGCGCGCATCCCCACGGCGTCATGGGGGAGGTGCGTCGGCCACTCTCCAAGCTCTCAACGGTGGCGCATCAGGTCTTTCGGATTCTGGACATGATGAGGCCTGGAGCTTCGGTGGAGCTTCGTCGGTCCGGTGAAGCCAAGTCCACGGGAAGAGGAATGGCCATTTGACATCGACGTCGAGGCTGTTTGGATGGCACCGAGAGCGAAGGACCACGATCACAAGTATGGTTTGGTTGAGGTGTTGAGGTAAGCCACCTCTTGGGTTATGTGCCATCTAATCTTTTGAAGCTGTGAAGGATGGGAGGAGTTTGGGTTTTTAGCGGCTTTCATGCTGTATATTTGCTGTTGTCACTGTGCTGTGTAGCGCAACATTTCCTGGAAATAGTCTCCAAGTAGATCAGTAGAATATGATGCATTCCAAAACATAGTCGAGTATGAGTATATATGTGTGTGTGCTTTTCTTTTATTCCATCTACCTAGGAGAAATCCAGCAGTTTTCATCAGAAAGACTTGCATGCTGCATGGTTGTTACCGACCGGTGCAGTGAAGGAGATGAACCGTGGAAGTAAGTTGAGTCTTCAACCCATTTCAACTTAGCTCCTATTATACATGTGTATATATTATATAGACATGCATGACCCGGCTCGCAAGAATCATTTGTTTTCTCTCAAGTGGTACTCATGTAGCATAGAAAAAGAGCTAAGACTAAGAGTAACATAGAGTAACTACATCACTAGTTTCTCCAAGGAATCTTGACCTGGATCTGTCATCCCTCGCTGCGCTGCCAGGCCAGAGTTGCCGGGATCGAACTATGACTTGCTCCGTCCCCTTCTCAGGAAGTCGAGGAAAACGGAAAGGGAGGTGACGGTCCAGGACCGCATCATCTAGCATCCTCTGGGTGGCCAAAAGCACCTGCAGCTGTAGGACTAGGACAAGGACTAGAACAGTCTAATGCCTTGATATGATGTCCAAACCAGACCACTTCAAGGCAAACTCGACCGGTTTTTTGGGGGGCAGCCGAGTCTCTGGGCATGCCGTCACCCACTCCACGCAAGAACGGCTCGTCACCGAGGCTGCAATTGCGCCCATTTCAGCGTAGCCTTCGTCAAGCGGCTACGGGTGAGCGAGGCTGGAGCGGAACGGCTTGGTGCAGAACGGCTTGGTGCGGTTTTTCCAAAGGGAGTTCCCGGTAGGGAAATCTTCCGGTCCGTGGAATGTTGGGGATAGATGCTGAAACGATATTTTATGGACGATCATTTTAGATCCTCAACAAGGCTACTGTAGCTGTGATCGGCTACAGGAGTGCAACTAGCGGAGAGTCATGGGGAAGACGGACTTTGCAACCAGGCGTTGATGCTTGTTAAACAGTTAGTGACGTATCAGCTTTCAGCCTGTCATGACACCTCATGCCTCATGATGTGTTCAACAAACAGGGTTCAGAGGTGACAGAGGGTTAGAGCAAAAAAGATATCATATTCCCAAGATGGAACACGGGAACTTTGGTGGGTGAGTATGAGGCCATACCCTGCTTGCCTCTCAATTCCAACCATCCATATATATATGGAGACGTTTCTTGCAAAAGCACCCACTGCTCTCACCCAGGCTCCGGCGTGGGTGAATTCCTTGGCGAATGTGGGGGAACACCTTGTGGCGCAGCTGGGCATGGCAGGTGCCGGACGGACGGTCTGCGGGACAAACCGAACGGGGCTGAGCCGGACAGGTCTGCGAGGCCGAAGACGACCGAGAGGACCATCAGGCTTAGCACCATCCCATCTCTCCGGCTCAAAAGGGTCAACCCACCCATTGACCGGTCATTCCCAAACTCACCCGGACGACCTTTCCAGATCTGACCAGACCTGCGAACTGGTCGGTCCCAGGTGCGCAGGAGGCGGCCGACAAGGCCACACCAGCCGAGAGGTGGGGTGTTCGGTGTATTTCGGGCGACCGTTGGGATCCGTTGGGCCGGCGACCAGGCCATTGGGTGGCTGCAAGGGGACCAGTTTGGATGGTACAGATGGATGGATAGATGGTACAGTTTGGATGGGGAGTTTGGATGGATGGTACAAGACTGGAATCTTCATGAGTGGAGTTGTTCGGTGCTCGCTTTTCTGGGCAGAAGTGACTCTAGAGGTGCCAGACGGCGAACACGATCCTTTCCGAGTCCGGAGATGAGCCTGAAATCCGTCCAAGTGATGAGCCTGGAATCTGTCCCATGACCTCTCCCCCTGAGTTTCTTCGCGGCTTTCTTCAAGCTATGATATGTGGTAGCACGTGGTAGCCATAGTTTGGTATGGTTTCATGGCGTCTTTCACGTCACGTCCCTGAAATCGAAGGTACTGTACCCTCCCGCGCTTCCACGTGCAGGGAGCGGGTGGCTCCCAAGTACCTCCAGTTCGGTCGGGCGGCTCAGAACCTTCGGGCGCTGCATCCGGGCGCTGCATCCGACGACTGGGACCGAAGAAGAGGGGGCTCCCGGCCCTGGCCAAAAGTGCTGGCAGATGCGGATTCCGGGCAATTTGGAAGGACAGAAACAACATACGCGTCTATGTTCAACAGGCACCGAAACAGCCAGAGGTGGTTTGTAAGACTTGATGTGACGGGTGAGTGGGCTTTGCGTTTCTGGATTTGAGGGGAAGCATTTGAATCAGGTGATGAGGAGGAGCTGGAGGATCTGGCCACAGAGGGTGACGATTTGGCTTTGAGAGAGCTGGCCTGGCGCAAGGCGCAGGCAGGGGCAGAGCGAACGCATGCACGAAGGGTCCAAATGGGTGCCGGGATCAACAACGTATATAAACCTTCCGCCGCGTGGCAGCCTGGGGCAGAAGGCCGCTGGGTCAACCCGGGCTGCCCTGGGCGAGTCAACCCTTCCACAGGGCAGCCCATCGATCCAGGCCTTCGTTTTGGAGAAGGCCTCTGAGGCAGAGCGCGACGCCCGGACGCTGGACCTGGCGATGGAGCTCCGTTGCGGTGCGCCGAGCCGAGTTCGCGTTGGACGCGCCAGCGGAGAGGGCGGGCGTTGGACGGCCGGCGGTCCAACGCCCTGCAAAGGATGGGAGAGGGGGAGAGGGGGGTTTCGATCCTTAGCAGACCATCGGACAATCAATGAATGTCCTGGCTGGACTACTCTACACTACTTGGGCATCTCCACAGGACAGCGCTCCAGATGGTCCAGGTAGGTGATTGGCTGGATGGGATTAGTGGCTGGATAGGGTGTATGGATGGGTTTTGAAGGCATGTTGCGTCGGTTTGGGGATAGGATGGGTTGCTCTCGTATGGTGTGAATCCTAGTCAAGTCGTGCTTGCTTGCGGCAAGATTTCGGTTTGAGGATGTTTGAGGGTTCGGTGCCCAAGGCTTTAATGGATCAATCATAGATCAGACGATCCTTCTTGATATCATCAATCAAAAGGATATATATATATATATATATCCATCATCAATATGGGTGTGGATATATACTTTTTGATTGGGTGAGACCTTCCAGGGCTCGAAAGGTCGCCTTCTGACCTGACACCGCCTTCTGCTCGGCACATGACCTGGATGGTTACGATGGAAGTTAAGATGGACATCGGAATAGTAATAGTATCCTTCGAGATGTTTAGATTTAACATGAATGATATCAGAATAAAAGCTCTTTGAGACTCTGATCTTCGCTCTGGAGCTGAAGTGCTCCCTGTTTCAGGCACATGCAAGGCACACCAGCCATGGTGAAACACCACATAAAGCATGGAGGACGAGGACCAATAAAGTTACCATGTTCCCGCTAAGCAGGGACCATCCACTTGTTTCCCAAGCCTGATTCCTTTGGAATGGCATGGAATGGCTATAATGGATGCGAATAGCCAAGAGCTTGTGTGATGAAGGTCAACACCCTGAGCTGCCGCGCTCCGGATCACCCACGACCCGATCCACCGCAGATCCCCTGTTCGACCGGGTCGACGACGGGTCCGACCGCGGCGGTCGACGCTACCGTGCCGCAGCGACGGACGGTGACTTTCAGAAGATCTCAAGCCTGGTCGATGACTTAAGGCACGTGACTTGCGACACGGGATGGGGTGTGAAGACAACTGCGACTGCGACTGTGGTCTTCGTCAAAGGAGTGTCATTCAGGATCCTACATTGCACGGTTCTGTCATTTTTAGGTGGAACCCTTTTGCCTAGATCATGATGATCATGTCATGGCTAGGTTGGAGTGCTTGTAGATTAGATCAAAGTGGGTGATTGGAAGCGTGCTCCCATGTTTTGCAGGAACAACATGGAGTGATGGACAAATGTCCATGCTCTCAACTAGACTCTTCGACCAATATTTGTTGCAGACACGAGTAAGACTAAGTTACAAGTAGATATAAGTAGATCATATTTATTGAGAAGGCCTCGGGCATTACTCACGTCGACCCACCCACTTGGTATCCCTCCAAAAACCACACCCTTCATTCGACCGGATCGAATTCGACCGGATTCGGCATCCCCTTCATTCTGATTGACCGGGGGATGTCAACGGGGCTGTCACATCGCTGGTCATCCAGGCTTTGGCAAGCGCTCGCCGAGGTGGGTTGAAGTGGCGAGCGGTGTCGTGGGTGGGCGGACAGAAAACAGGGAGAGATGGATAACATATGCTCATGTGGGTCCAGTTGATGAGCAAACCGTAGATTAGATAATTAGATCGCACAATTGTGTTCCCTTAGAATGTCCATGTCTATATATAATATTATACAATTATATAATATACTGATTATATATTGTATATATATATATTTGGATTATTTGGTCAGAATATGTCAGAATGATGATACTCAGACTCATGTCGACATTTCATTGGTGCCCTTCTATCAGAATCGTGTACGTGCCCCCCGAATCGATCGAAAGTGAGATTCCTGTGCACCGTGAAAGATGGATTTATAAGACCCATCGATTGTTTGGCTTTTGGTGACCGCTGGTTTTCGTGTCAGGCAAACACGTCAGACCCGGTTTTTGACCAGCATTTGAATGCATCGTTCAACTTGTTGATTTAGATGAAAAGTGCTGGTCCGCATCCACAACCCTGGTGTTAAATATAGTAGTTATAGTTATATATCAACCTACATTATTAGCTATAACTCTTTGTCTCTCTCTCTCTATGTATATATATTTTTTTTTTGTCCGGCTCTTTTGCTGCAGCTCACGAGTTGGGCTCATGCCAACATTGACCTTATGTCAAGAGATGTAGTCGTGGGACATCTTCTGCGCAACTTGTCGGTGAGGAGGATGACGTCTTGCTGCACTCTGGTGCGTGCATGGCACTTCTGACATTCAACCGTGTTCCCAGTCCGATGCATCTGGTGCGTAGAGTGACCATGCCAGCGATCGCTCGCTAGAGGGCCATGATGGCAAACCTCCCCCAGGAACCTGTTGAAAATGTCCTCTCCTGCCCTAGCCAGCACGTAGGAGCGGCAAAGGTTGCAGCGTAAGTACGCTTTCTCCAACCGCAGGTGGTGTGTGCCCGGTTTGGCCTCCCCTTGGGACTCCAGGAGATCGTGAATGATCTCAAAACGGGTCTTCCTCTGGGTCTGACAGGGCACCGCCTGGGCACAAGGTGCAGTGAGGCCATCCTGAAGCTCCTTGATCAACGATTTGGTGTGAAATCGCACTCGACAGAGGCTGCATCGGACTCCTGATCTGTAGACCTCCCATTGGTGGCCATGTGCCTGGGGGTCTTTGAGGAAGCAGGCCAAAAGATCCTTCTTCTGCTGGACCATGGGGATCTTGGAGTTGTCCGCCATGGCTGACTTGTTGTGTAGAAAGTGTTCTTTGCAAGTGAGGAGGATGTTCATCCTGTTGCCTGCGACACTGAGGACATCTCGTGTGTCTTCATCAATGTGCTTCTGTAAGTCAATGATCTCTTCTGGCCTGGCAAGAAGTGCAGCTTGAGTGGCCTTCGCCTGTGTGTCCTGCTGAAAGGCCTTCCTGTTGAGGTTGGAGTCCATCTCACGTCGGCTGAAAAGGAGGAGGCGGACTTGATCAAAGTCTTCATGCTCCAAGCCCGCGCTGAGGTCTGGGAAATGATCATGAGCCGGCATGAAGGACCATTTCTTCCAAATGGAGTGCTGAAAAACGGCCACATGGACTTTGTCCCTGATGTGGAGGGAGAGGTGCTTCAATCCATAGAACAAAGCCCTGAGCCTGGTAGCCTTGCCCGGACAGATGCCAGTCAAAGATGCCACACGTTCTTTGGTGAAGACCTGATGAATGCAAATGGCAAAAACATACCGGCGATGCCGAGGGTCTCGGGAGGTAGGAGCCACAGCCAGTGAGACCGCATGACCAGCAGGCAGGCTGCAGGCTTCCAGATCGGCCCAGAGTCCTTCACCAGAGAAAGTAGCCATACCGCCATCCTGGATGTAGAAGATGGACTGAGTCATCCCCCGGTTCCAGAGTTCGGGCTCAGTGTTGGCTTGTATGCGGTCTCGCCATTGATCTGGCAGAGGCTGAACTCTTCCTTCCCAGAAGCTGCACTCCCAAAGGAGGTGGATGAAAGTCAGCTCCACTCCGCAAAGAGGACACTTGCCAGTTTGCCCGTGCAGCGTGCCCTGATGTAGGGCCCGGATGCCGATGGCAATCTTCTCACTCGTCATCTTCTGGAGCGTTTTGCTGACTGACCAGTCCAATTTCCTTTCCAAGTCGTGGCAGCCCTCATACCTGGTCAGGCGCAGCAAGCGTTGCCAGTGGAATTCCTCAGTCAACTTGTGAAGAATTTCAGGCCACAGGGCTTCCAGGCTAATGGTGCAATCAGGGATGCCGCCGTAGCCGGTTCGCTTCCAGAGCTTGCCGTTGGAGATGTCGAAGTCGTAGTCCAGAAGGTAGGCCTGCAGGGCTTGAAGGGGCCCTGTGACAACTTGCCAGCGATGCTTAGCCTTGAGAAGGAGATCAAGTGCTGAGTTCCAGCTAATCCAGAAGAGGTTCTTGGCGCTGTCATCAAAGGAATGCAGGACCTTCCAAACAGTGTGGATGTGTTGCAAGATGATGGAGTCGCCGGGGTCACTCTTGTCGGAGTGGATGTCGAAGACAACATCGACTGAGCCAGAGCGTTGGAGGCCGAGACCTCTGGCAGCCAGGACCCGAAGTTGTTGGCGACGTTGTGGAGCCAGCCCATTTGCCTGAGCGCCCCAGGACATCACGGGGTGGATAGCTCCCCGGTGGAGCCTGTACTTGGTGGTCATGCCCAGCTTGAGACGAAGCATGATCCCAACTCTCCCTCGGCCCTTGAGGAAGCGCTTCTTGATCTGGGTGATGCGTCGTCGCCTGGAGTTGGTGGCATCGATGCCCAGGTCACGGAGGATGTTGTGGTGCTTGGGATCATCTTGCCTGAGGAGGGCATCCAAAGCCTTGGCAGATTCCTTGCTGCTGGTGATGAAGCCAGTCTTTTCAGTATTGAGTTTGAGACCCTCCGCAGCCAGGTTGGCTTGCAGAGTGCGGAAGGCCAAGACCGCCTCTCTTGCAACATAGTCCGGATCCGTGCCTTTGATGTCGAAGGAAACATCATCCACCCATGTCTGAAGTAGGACGGCCGGGTGTTCAAGAACAAGGGCACGAAGTGGACGATAAAGCGCCAGTTTGGCTATTGCTGGGGCCTGAGGACATCCCTGGAGGATGCCCTTCTCATAGTACTTGGGATCACCAGCAATGCCCTCTGCCTGGATCAGCCTGGGGCCCGTGTAGAGATCCAGAGCAAGCTTGAGGTGAAGCGGAGGGTAGTCCAGCTCGATGGCGGGCTCAATGAGATGATCCAACTGCACCGTGTCGTAGAAGCAAGTTAGGTCAGCAAGGCAGGTGACGGTGTGAATGCCCTGGTGCTTGCCAATCTCAGCTTTGAGCATTCGACCAACTGCAATGGAGAGGCAGTCTTTGTGTGGCCGTGCATGATCCCATGGCATGTCCTTGTCCAGGCCGAGCTGCCATTTGTGAAGATCGTGCTTGCGATAGCTGTTCCAAAGCCGGTAGATGCAAGAGGTGAGAGCGATAGGCCGCTCAATGCGCTCGTTCTTGGGGATCATGACAATGTTGGTATGCCTCAGCTGTAGAGGTAGTTCGGCTTCCTGTTCCATCTCGGTGAGGAGACTGGCCAGCTTTTCCACCGCAGGGTAGGGAAGGTGGCGAAGAAAGTCATAGGAGATGCCATCCGGCCCCGCTGCTTTGTTGGGGAGTCGTCGCATCAACTTCTGAAGAAGACTGGAATCGATGGCCTTGATCTGCTGGGCCTGTGCTTGGGCAGCACGCTTGAGATCAGGTAGGCCTCTGATTGGCAAAGGTTCAGTTCGCGGGATCCAAATGTCGCCCCATTGCTGTTCCCTGGCGTGGGTGCGAGAGGTGGATGGCAAGTCTTGAAAGGGACGTTGCCAGGCATGGTCCTTCTGACGCAGGCTGCGAAAGAGTCCTCTGAGACCTTTGTCATGGGCCTTTTCCAGCCATTCCCTGAATTCATGATTGGTGGCACTGAGGAGTTGCTCTTGAGCAAGTTGAAGCTCATGTTGGACACGTTGGAGGAGGTCAGAAGGATCCGGGTCTCCACCAAAGATCCACTGGAGCAACCGTTCCTCAAAGCTGTGGCAATCCAAGTCCTGGGAGGCATGCTGTGTGATTCTCGTGGCCATGTCCTTGAGATCTTGAAGCAAACCAGGGTAGCGGCCATGTTGTGCCAGGTTGATCTTGATGCCAAGTTTCTCCCAAAAAGCAGCACTTCCTTTCTTCCAGACTCTCGGTTTGGTGGAGCTGGCAAGAGGGGCCAGACGCAAATGGATCTGGGATCCGCGGCCAGTAACAGGCCTGGTCAAGTGCTGGGTGAGGTACTTCTCGGTTTGAGTGGCCCACCGGGCTAGGTCGGAGCCTAGGCCCGTGATGGTCTGTCCGAGGATGTGGAAGGGGCCATCCTCCTCTGTGAAGCTGGTCCAGAGATGCTTGGGGTGATAGTTCCGGGTGATGGGCGGAAACCGTTGAAGTTGTTGTACCGCAACCGCTGCTTGAGCACAGTCAAATTGGAGAGCTAGGGCACAGTGTGGCTTCCATGGGACTTCCCAATCGGCTTCCAAACGAAGAGCTGAGGCGATAGAAGTGGAGGCCAAGATAAAGTCCAGTTGACTGCCCTGCAAGGTGGTCGGCCCTGGCGTAGCTAAGATCTGAGCCCTGAACTTGCTGGGAATAGTGGTGGCCGCCAGGTCTTCAGGAGCTGTCTGCCAATCACCGCCAATGATGAAAGGAGCCTGAAGGTGGTCAAGGAATTGCAAAAGTTGCCCCAGGAGATCGGCATTGAGCGGGGATTGAAGCGGTTCCCCGGTGCGCAGGTAGAGCTGGATGAGATAGATCTCCAGGCCCTCTCTTTGCATGACCAGCGCTGTCCAACCATTGCCCTGCTTGGTGTAGGTGTGGACGTGATGGATGAGGTGTCTGGTGGCAAACAAGGTGAGAAAGCCCCCGGTGGCGCCTCCGTTGCCTGTAGGTTCAGCCTCCACACCATGACATTTCCAGCCCCGGCAGTTGAAGTACTGCAGAGTGGTGTCCAGGGCTTTCCTTTGGAGGTGAGTTTCCTGGAAGAGCATGATGGTGTCGCCTTGTGACCAGACCCAATCTTGGACCTTTTTCCCGAAGAAGGTGATGTTGCTGAAGGTGATGTGGAGAGTCTCGTGGCAAGAGCGCGGTTTCTTCGGTAGGGATTCGGCCACTTCCATAGCTGTGTCCGGGACCAATTCATCCGTAGGAGCAGCTACGAGCCAGATCTGAGAGATCTCTCGGCGTTGCTGAGAAGTGAGTTGAGGGAGAGGAGATGGGAAGGTCCCATCATCAGCAAGCCAGTAGATGTTGTCGATGGCCAGTATGGTCTGGTAGTGCCCGTTCTCGTGAGTGGCACCCTGATGAAGCACCAAGGCCACCACATGGTACTTGGCCATGTGGACATGAAATCCATCTTCAGAAAAGGGCAGATTGACCTTGGTGTCGATCTCAAGCTCACGGTGATGTTTGGTCCAAGTGCCCTCTTGCAAGGTGGAGCGTTGGAGGTTGATCACCACTCCCCCTGGGGAGCCGTACAAGAACTGGCCCTGACCCTCATCGGCCCAAAAGTTGACCAGGGTATCCAAGGTGAGCGGCCCATCTCCATCCGGAAAGATGAAGTTCAAGGGAAATTGTTCCCGCTCCTCAGTGTGCCCCCTCTCACTGCGATGGAAGAAGCGCCCAGCAAAGAAGGAACTGCCTGAGTAGGTCCACAAGGCGTGGAGGAAGTCCACAGCATCAGCTTGCTGGTCCTGGTCAAACTGGGCCCAAATGTGCTGCATGCCCGGTAGACTTGGGAGAAGCTGTGGCTCGTTCTCGGACAGATAATGGCGCACCGCCTTGGTAGTGTGGCCCCAAGCTTGGGCGACATCATCTGCAAAAGCCCCGGTCCAGCACCAGCACCTCCAGGGTGCATTGCCATAGCAGAGGTTCCTGGGGTTTTGCAGGATGCAAGTGAGGCACTGAGAGACGACAAAAATGTTAGCCACTGTGTGGTCCACTTCCCCAGGAACACTGAGGTGGCTTTGAATGAGGTTCTGCATCCGCTTGAGGTCCATGAGAAGCTGATGCCCCCTGGGCAGAGTAGGGTTTCTGCCATTGCGTTGACACGAAGTGGTCAAGTCTGTACTGCAAAGATCAAAAAGAGTTTTCTGTTCAAAAGTGAAGGGATGGTCATCCTCTCCCTCCATGTTGAGGAGGCGGGCCAAAGACTGGACAGCTGAGGTCCCGTAGACAGCAGTCTCCCTGGGGAGCTGCTCTGAAGTAGAAGAGCACGGTGCCCCTGCTGCCCAGTCGCCCTGACCCTCGTGAGAGGTTTGAGCCCCTCCAAAAACCTTGAGTTTCCTCAAGGGTTGTCTGCACGGACCATAGCCCGCCCCAAATGAAGAAAGGCCCGATCTTGAGCCTGAAAGCAAAGGATCAACTGAGAGTGCATGTCCCCTGCAAGCCAGTTGAGAAGGCCCCATGTCATGTACTGAAATGCATGACAGAAATTCCCGATGTGAAAGAGAAAAACCCGGAGATGCCAATGACAGCAAAGGGCTACCCACACGACGCTGTGTTGCCAAGTTCTGTCTTTCGGCGTTTTGCTTCTTCGTCTGTGACTTCCGCATCAACCGAAGGACGTTTGAGCATGACATGCAGCTGGTCTTTTTGTTCCTGAGTGAGGCTGACTCCAAGAGTGTTGATGAAGCCTGCCACTGCGGCGGGCACAGAATCATCCATCCCGGTTTCGAGAGGTTGGAGAGGCATTTCAGCCTGGGAGGAACTGACCTTGGTGAGGTAGGCCGTGCTGATGGTGTTGAGAGATGCCTGTTCCTGCTCAAGTTTGCTCTGCAGAGACTTCATTTCTTCTAAAAGCTCTTGGTAGTGCTTCTTGGTGTTGTCGATCTTCTGCTGCAGGAGCTGCTTCTTTTGAGAGATGTCCCGCAGGGTGGTAACTTGCTGCTTAAGCCTGGTCGCCATGTCCTTTTCCGTCTCGGGCTGAGGTTTGGTGATCTTCTCAACCAGTTCCTTGACGGGAGCTGGCAGACTGGCCAGATTCTCCTTAAGGACATCTGTCAAGTCCGGCTCCACAACCTTCTGGATAGGGGTGATGCCCACTTGTGTGAGCTTGGTCCTGAGGGCCTCATCCAGCGAGTCCCATGCCGGTGCAAGGATCTCGGATGCTGTCTTCTGAAGCTTGGACGAGCGGGGCGGCCTTTGCGTGTTGAGACCCGGAGGCGGTGACACCCTGGGAGAGCGGTGTTTGCTCCAGGTGGATGGGCGATCGTCTCGAGCTGGTGCAAAGCCATGCTGAGGCTTCTTCCACGGAGTGCCACAGAGGCGGCAAGTGAAGTGGGCCTGAATGCGGTCCTCCCAGATCCAGTTATGACATCCGGCTTTGCCACAGCATTGATATGCCCGCATCCACGTCATGCCCGAGCGCAATGCCAGGTGCCAAAGGGCTCTTCAGGGGTGGCCGGCAGGAAGACGTGTAGGAGGGGCGAAGCGCCAGTGCCGTAGAAGACGTCGTGGCAAGTAGAAAGGCGCTGTCTCTTGAGCAGAAATGGCTTGAGCCAGTCTCTATGTATATACAGTATATAGTATGTATATATATATATAACTTTGGTTTCGGATCTTCTCTGCCAAAGGCCTGCGCAGCGGGCTTTGGACTCCCGTGCCCCTACAACCAGCACCAGGAGGCCATGTGGTTTTTGGGTTCTTCCGGCAGTGCAGGAACACATTCGATGATGTGAATGCAGTCGCTTGGTTTATTTCGTTGGACAACCCAAGCGACTCGACCGTCTGAAACAAGGGTTAAGCCAGAGGCGTACTAAGGGATCTTGGGAAAGGACTTACACTCAAACGGACTTCATCACGCTTGCACTCCTTTGTTGACTTATGTACTTTGGTTGTACTTTGTATGGGCTGAGCTTTTCCAAACGTTGATAGTCCAGCATTGGCTGTCAACCTTGACCCTGAAACTGCCTATGATAGGCGGAGTTGGAAAACGATGAACGGAACCTGTGGTATCATTGTATGACAGCCGTGGGTGGCTCCTCTTCTGTAACCTGGATATGACATGGACAAGCAGTCTATGCAGAATTGGATGGTCGGATTTTGGTGCGGAAACAACAGACTTCCAGAGTCTCCCACAACTGACACCACATCACCAGCACCGGCGACTCTGGACGAAGCACCGTCGCGCCGGAAGTGTCGTGAGTGCTTTGCCTGCGTGGCCCTCCCACTCTGCCCTTCCCCCCCCTTTTCTGTGCGTCGTCACTGTGGAGAGACGCCACGTGCTCATCTGAGGCTGCACATATCAACGTGTGGGTTCAGGATCCAATGAGTCCTTTTTTGACAAAAGACGCGGCATTTGATCACCTAAGTAGAGTGATTGTTGATACAGAGGGTTCGTGATCGTCGAGCTTAGCATGTCTGCATTTTTCCTTGTCCTTGATCTCCATGCATCACAATACATTCAAGGGCAGATGGATCACAAGACAGGTTCAACAAAGATGCTCAAGATATATGTGTGTGTGTCACTGAGTATTTAACAGGGCACTTTTACTGCCAGAACATCAGGGACCATCCTGTGCGTGCAGCCACTTGATGGGAGTGGCATGCCAGTCTCGTCCACTTGAGCTTAGCCTTCCTGTGCAAGAGCCTGCATAGCCGCTGCATGAAGTGGACCTTTGGGCCGAGCAAGAGCTCAAATATCTTGATGGTGACAAGCAGGTCAATACAACAATCTTGAGAATGCCTGTGAAGGTACGACAACATCTTGTTAAAAAAGAGTTAGCGCCACCTGAGGTCGGTCGAATGCCTAAAGGTTGGCTGTGTAGATCCGGGTCTGGGAAAACATCTAACATCTAGTCTAGTCATCCTTGAGCGGATAGAATTTGAGGCCCACTCTAAGACCTAATGCCTAATGCCGCCAAGCTTTGCCCCAACCAGGCTGGAGGCTGGTCTTTGCTTGGAGACGATGAACACTCGGAGTCCGAGGAGCTCGAGGACAGACACTCCGTCGCCTGGAGTTGATCCTGGAGACGGTCAATCGTTGTGATTCCAAAAGGGAGACCTCAAACACATCGAATTCATTAGACTTCTTTGTAATTAATGTGAACATAGGATTAATAAACACCCCCTACCCGGTCTCTACCCCCTAGAAGGTTTCTTTTTTTGGGTAAGGAGGGACCTCCAAGACTTCACAATCTATTCATGAGGGGGGGGTCCCACAGACCAATGAGGAGGGATCCCAAAGACCAATACTTTCATAAGGAGGGATCCCAAAGACTAAAGGAGGGGTCCCGAAGATTACATCTCTTCCAAAGACTTAAAATTCTTCATGAGGGGGAGATGAGGATGATGAAGCTGAGAGGCACGAGGGCTGTTTGGTTGGGGATGAGCTTTCATTCAGCTCACCGGAATGAGTCGGGAGCTTAGGCAACTGCATCAGGCTAGTTCGGTCGGGATGAGCTGGTGTTTAGCAGCATAGGATGGTGTTCAGCAGCATAGGAACATGAAGGCACGGACTTATGAGGGGCACGGACTTCTCTATGAGGAAGGGGAAGGTGGTGGAGAAAGATTGGGAACGGACAACAGAATATCTGTGTGGTGGAACAGTATATGTTGTGGTGGAGAATTGTCTCCCCACCCGGCGAGGACCAAATTAATTGTGGTCATAAGAAATGGAGAGATGATGAGAGATGATGTTTTGGGTAGGGTTTTTGCAGACTATTTTACTAAGCATTTTCTAGGAGTGGTTTTTGCATTCTGGGTGATTTTGGGGGAATCTGCGGCGAATCGGTCAGCAGAAATGAGATGCTCATGATGGGCCCCGGAAGCATTGAGATGCATTCGAGGTGGTGATGAGGCAATGAAAAACTCCTGCTGCAGAGTCGGTGACTGCTGGTCGTCCAGGTGAACCTATGGACCTATGGCGGCTACAGCTGATGAATGAACGATGATTTCTTCTTTGGCAGGAGTTGTGATGGAGGCTTCAACTTTGCCCCCAACTTCAGTTCCAGTGACTTTGGCTTTGGAGGAGGCTACAAATGCGGCTTCACCCTTGCCTCCAACCTCGACCATGTTGACTTCGGCTCCAGAGGATGTTGCGAAGGCGGCTTCAACTTTGCCTTCGACTTCGGTGGGCTGAAGATATGGAGGAAGAGCCATAGGCAAACTGCTAAATGCCAAAAAACATGGATCAACAATGATCCAGCAGGAACAATAAGTTTCATGAAATTTACTTGGAGTTGACGTTGAATGGCAATAGGATCATGGGATGAGGGATTGGTGACATTAAATAAAGATTAAAGAGGGAAGAAAAGTTAGTATTGCCAAAAGATGTCTCCACGGTGGACCAAACTATTTGGGGGGGGGAAGTTGTACCCAAATCTTTCAATTATTTGCTAGAAGGCTTTTTGAGAGGCGGTTATTACCGGGCCGAGGCGGACCAAACGAATTAATAAGATAACTTATATTATATAGGTATATTAATTACAAGATATTACAAGTATATAGACCTGACCCGAGTTGTCCTCAACCAGGGTGCAAAGCTGGCCCCCAATCGCCGTCTTCCCGCACAGACTGCACCACTCGGAGCTTTCAGGAAGACGGCGCTTGTGGCAACCTGGAGGTGGGGGAATACTGCTGGCGAGCGAAGATTGCCCATGTTCTGGCCATCGCTAGTATAGGTTGGAGGCCATTGCTAGTATAGGTTGGAGGCCATCGCTACTAGGTTGGAGGCCATTACTTCTAGGTGGGAGGCCATCGCAAGTAGGTTGGAGGCCATATTTATGTTTGCTCAATATCTCAATCTGTTGTTCAGTGCTCGCTGGCCCTGGCTGACCCTTTATTTTCTGACATAAAGGTGTTTCCAAACCGCAAGGAGTCGTTCCAGCAGACCAACGTTCAACGAACGGACTGGAATGAATTGTTTTCGTTGAGAGGGCATGACCAACTTACCCTGCTATCAGCTATTCACACCAGAAATCGAACTGATGATTGCGCAGCCTCATTCGGTTTCTCCAATGGTTTCTTGATGTACAAACAAAAGCAACCCTTTGCATGACAGAACTGCATGACAGAACCATGATTCATGAGCCTTCCCCCAAGAGTCTACAGTATTTTTTCCGCGTTGAACTGGTTTTACTCTATTGAGAAAAAACGACTGCTGGTTGTAATCCGAGGCACGCTACCCTTTGAGGTCTACAAGCTGAACGGGTCTCAACGGCTGCTGACCGTGCGGCTGCGTTTGCGGGGCAAAGCACTGGATGCCAAGGTTCGGAGCGAAGACGGGAAGACGTAGCTGGAGTGTCAGATGTCGCGATGACGGGGAAGATCAGAGTCTCAGGACGTCGCGAAAAAGTCCTGGGTATTTGAGTCTGCATGATAGGTTGTACAATCATAAAGATCATCACTTTTTCGCTTTAAAGTGGTCCTATCTCCTGTCGATTCTCATCGACATGTCAAGTCCATCGCTTCGAACTTCACGTGCTTTGGTCATGTGAGATTCTGCAAGGTCAACCGTTGTGATCGATTCGTCTCGTCTCCACAGACCGACGGAGACCTCCCAGCACTCATCTTGGAGGGCTTGTTGAAAGATGTCGCAACATGGATCAACTAAACAACAATGCCATTACAACAAACAAGATCTTGAAACCCGCCCAAGAACCAGCCAGGAGTGGAACTTCCAACATCATGCCAGGTGCCAATTCATTTCTCCACCCAAAGATCTATACTGTCTACCACCCCTATACCTATATACCTATACCTATACCTATACAGTCTGTCTATACCTATACCTTCCCCGATTTTCTCCGTTTTACCACCGCCACTCCACCCAGGCCGCGGCGCCGCCGTGGCGCGGCAGCGCCTTCCGCGAGGCGCTGCGCAAGGCGATGGCGCCGCAGCGAGGAGCCGGGGAACGAGCGGAGCGGAGCGGAGCGGAGCGGAGAAGGGGGCGCCGCGGGGGGGCGGGGGAGGTATGTTTTAGATATGTTTAGATCTACGGATGGGTGGAGTGGAGGGGTGGAAGGGCAGTGTTTTTTGTCACAAAAGTCCAGGTGGGTGAAGAAGTGTTTTTTGAATCAAAAAGAAGTGTCTTTGGAATTTTAAGAGGTGCTGATTGGTTAAGATGAACACGGGGAATGCTTTGAATATGTTTGATCTTTTTGAACTAGAGAATGGTGAATTGCAGGGATCGGCCGATTTGCCACCGATTCACCACGTGGGGAAACCCGAGTGTGGCAGACCTGGTTGGGAAGTGTGGGAGAGATATGAGAGATTTTCAATGAAACTTCGATCATTTGGTAAGACTTCATCAATCGACCTTCATCATGTGGCCCTGGATCAACACGGGTTTTCGTAGACACCTGGGACACCGGGACGCGTCTTCGATCTTTTTTTAAACAGCGCGCAGATCTGAGTTGCCAGTGTGCCATGATCGCAATCAGTCGATTTGTTCGTCTGACTTTGTCCAAAACCCTGGAACAAGAGGATGTTTTTCCGGTGGCATGGGCCAGATGATCTGAAGATCGCGTCTCCTTTTTGACATGTGGGTCAGCAAAAAAATGGATCCAGATCCCACAATAGAATGCTTTGACAAATTGCAAAGTTAGTCGCACATGCTGTTGAACGCCTTTTCAGCTTGATGGGACAATGTCGAATCCCAATTAGTCAAGTGGACGGGAATTATGACACGTTTTCGCTACATTATTCCCACGCACTGAACAGTTTAGTGGGTGGGAATAATCAACAGTTTCTTTTTTTTCGCAGAGGATTCTATTTCTGGATGTTCTGTTTATAGTTTATCAAATTGATTAATTAGTTTTCTTGTGTTCTGCTATTGCTGCCCTTTCAGATCCTTGCATAACCTCTTCTGAGGTTTGCTTGTTTGCTGAAACTCTGACCTGAAAACCTTTCGCAAACACCCTTATTAAACTCATCGAGATCATTGCTCCAAACAATTCTTCAAGAGTAGTACACAAGCCCAGGGGAAGTGAAGTATCTCGAGTGTTTAGGGAGTTGTTGGAAGAACAGAATCAAACAAAGATGGGTGAAAGGGGAAATGACCGTTTGGATGCAGCTGTTCCACGGCTCAACGACTCTATCCGACTCTAGCCTTAATATGGGGTTATTCTCTATAGCAAAAAGCCAAAGATGTGAGTCTGAAACTGGATTTCTTTGGTAAGCGTGCTATTGCAAACCAATCTCAAACTGATGTTCAAATAAACGGATTTGGGAGGACCTGATGCCCTTCTTACTAGTAGCTTCTTGTTCCTAGTAGTAATGCCAGGAGCTACTAGTAGCTTCTTGTTACTAGTACGTTCAAGTAAAGGGATTTGGGACGACTCTAAATTGTTCTGCAAGTAGGGTTCAAACGGCTTAGCCTTACGTGGAATTTGCTGCTACTGAGGGTTAGGGCTTTAGCGAGGGTACCTTCCTGCTTTGGCTTCTAGTTAGAAAGGCTAACCTCCAGATAAGGAATCATGTGAGAAAGGCTGCCAGTGGACGTTCTGACAATCGGAATTCAGTAAGAAATTCGGAGTTACCGTCCAATCGACCTATAGACCAACCAGAAAGACATGGTTCCAGAGCCAGGCAGTGGCAAAATTGTTGTGCCAGAATGTTGTTGTTGTTGGTGGTAGAGACAAAAACAGCTGCCCAACATAGTTGTCACATGCTGCAAGTCAGGGATTTCAAAGGGGTCACATGCTGCTGCTGCAAGTCAGGGATTTCAAAGGGACACTGTTAGGGATAGGGTCGAAGGTTTGGAGAGATGTTAGTAGCTGGACTTCTCAAGTCTTGGTTGGTCAGTTTCTTGTTTTTTGATGTTTTTTGAGGTGTTGTTCCGGCGGGGGGGGGGGGAAAAAAAAAAAAAGGGGGCTGCAGTTTTTTTTTCTGGGGGGGGTAGAGACAACAACATCTTTTGAGGGGGGGGTCCAAAACACAACAACGGGGCTGCAGTTTTTGTCTCTAGGATGCGGTAGAGCTTTACAGAGGCTTAGCGGACCGGTTGCTACTCCTACTACTACTACTCCTCCACCTCCTACGATTGCTACGACAACGACAACGACTACTACTAGTACTAGTACCACTAGTACTAGCACTAGTACAAGCACTGCCACTACCGGTAAAGGTACATGTTGGCTGTTTGTTTTCGGGGGGGGTCAAAAAACAAGGTACCGCCGCTAATAGTGACCCAGTGCGATTCGCACATTGCCAAAGTGGACAGTGCTCAACACCTCCCTTTTTTTTCATTTTTTCATTTGGGAGAGTTTGGATCATATGTGCTTTCATCCCATTTTTCACAAGGGTCAGCACTTGTAAGGTGGAATTTAGATTGGGGAAGAGCAGAGAGTGCACTCTTTTTTTGGCGCACATGCGTTTTGCAGGTGTATTTTCCTTACACTTGCGGCCACGTTCGGGCCAACGCCTCAAGCAAATTTCCTCGGTTGTTCCACCGAAACTGAAAACTGCGGACATATTGATCAACGCGTTTTGCGTCACCCCACATCAACCACGAAGCATCAACTTCGTGACGCAAGTGCAAGCGAACGTTAACATGCCCCACCCCACCCCACCCAACATCTACCACGAAGCATCAACTTCGTGACGCAAGTGCAAGCGAACGTTAACATGCCCCACCCCACCCCACCATACATCAACGAGGAAGCATCAACCTGACAGCACCATAAAATCGCGATTTCCTCTGGGGTCGCTAACAGCGGCGATAGCAAAAACAACGACAGGGCTGCAGATTTTGTTTCCACCCCTTTGTAGAGACAAAGGATCAAGATATGTTGTAACAGGGCTGCAGTTTTTTTTGTACCTTGTTGTTGTTGTTGTTGCTTTTTCCCAAGAGCACAACTTCGACGAAAAGAACGTGTGAAGACAGCTCGTACGGCGAAGGTTTTCAATTTCAAGTCGAACGTTTGTGAGATTGCCACAGACGCTGAGTTAGGGATTTGCCAGTGGCTATATATATATATAGCTGAGAGGTCGAAACCCATTTTCAGCCAAGCGATTCTGTCGAAACAACTTCCATGCGGAGACCGCTTGTCGTGGAGTCCTGCGAGCAACGACTTCATCTCCACCCAGCGCTGAGCTTTGCATTGGGCCTCCAAGCGCAGTGAGCGCAGTGAGCGCTAGGATTATTGGTTGATGCACCCACCAAAGTTGAAAACCACAAGAACCACACTCTGACTGACTAACATGGAAGTGGAAAATGGTCTCTTGGAAGACTACTTTCCTTTACGAACGGAGGGTTTTCCACTTCCATATCTTCCATTCCATGTTAGTGATCCGAGTGCGGATGGAACACTTCCCACACTGCTGTGAGCAGTCTCTTTGCATGCTAGGACTGACTGTTCGATGGCCTGCGCCAACCCGGCATGTTCGACTGTAAACTTACCTTGGCCGGTTGCAACTGTTGCAGCCTCCCGGGGAGAGTGATGCTTTTCATCAAATACCTCTGTCTATCCTTTGGATGGTGGGGGTTTGGGGAAGTCAGGAGGCACTTGATGACCACCCAGTCATGGAGGTTATTGAGTTAAGAGTGGCGGAAAACGGGTATTTTGATGGACAAAGCCAAGCTGCGCGTCGAGGTCGAAAACAGAGAACTGGCCTAACAATGCCTTTGTGATTTATCTCAACTGTTTGTCATTGTTGTTTGTTTTGCTTGTTGGCTTGAACGCGCTTTTTTGACCGGTCTGAAGACGCGGACCCACATGCAAGGACCGCAATGTGGGCACATCACCACCAAATGCCACATATATTGGCATTTTTGTCCTGTAATCATTGGAACTCTAGGGCCCTAGGGCGGTTTTTGAGCCAAGTTTGGTGCTCGTCTCAGCCAGGGGCTCCCAACAAATCGTTTCAGAGCTGGAGGTGGTCACCGCCCCTGACCAGGCCATGCGCAACGGCTGGCTACGTCGCGCCGAGACGGCTCAAGAGACGGCTCTTGATCACTTGCACCCAAACAGGTGAACAAACAGGTGCACACAATTCCATTGGCATAGACCCCCCAGATATATGTAGCATGTTCTGGGTGGTGGTTTCAGTTGTTTTGGTGTTCAATCTTTACTTGAGATGATTGATCTCAACTGGCGAGTGAGTTGAAACCAAGTGAGTTGAAACCTTCAACCAGATGTTACACACACAAACTTGGAGGCAGGGAGACCATGGGCCCACCTATGAAAAGGAAGACCTGTCATCTAGAAGGTCCGGGTGAGGCTTACACTAGGCACTGGTACGGTATGGTTGCACAACCCAGTAGGCTCACACAGTCAGACAAGAACCTAACCGCTCCAAATGTAACATGTTCTTTGTCCAAAACATTTTGTCCATTAAAGCTCTTGCATTTGTACACATCATTCCCAATGTACCATTTGATTCCGATGTTTTTTCCGTCACAGAAAAGCGGTTTCTTTGGGCGCCTGGTTGCGGAGCCTGAGTTGTTCGACTGCGCCACGTCATCACTTCGACCAGGCCCTTTTCGGCTCCCGTGTGGAGACCAGTTGCGGGCCATATGCTGGGAAGGCGTGGTAAGGTTCGACAGACGCGGCAGGATGGGTATGGGCAAAACATGGAAAAGCCTTTCATGGACGCATGCAGCATTTGATCATTGGTTGGGATGGCTTCATTGACAGGGCACCCTTTTAGTAGTTGCAAGTTATAAGTGTTACAACCCCTGAGCCAGGCTCGAACGGACCAATTCCCAGTCTTGGTGGTTCGTACAGTTCTATGGAGGCTGTACAAACATAACATATATACATGGATGTTGGTACTTTTATCTTCCTACCATGACGCAATTCTTCCACCAGTGGCACCACCATTCGTCCAAGAATGTTTGGACACAAAGTCTGTCATGTCATGCATTTTGGCTCATCAAGGAATTGTTGTTTGAGTTCCCCCCTTGCGAAGCATCACAATGATTTACTCATACTTATACTGTCTTATACTGATACTTCCTCATGGTATTCAAGACATGTGCAGGTTGTGACTCACGTTTGCATGACGTGATCCTCAGAATCAGCTTCAGCAAACCCCACCCGCTGTGTCAAGGCCCGCATTGAACACAATGTTTCAAAGTCCTGGAAGTGGGAATGGGTGCGTGCTCACCCAACCAATGGAGAGGCTGGTCTATTTCCGTTCTTCCATGGGTTTTCAATACACACCTGTATGTATTGAGATTGGGTTACCTCTCGAAGACACCATGGAACAGAATAGATCCACTATGATCCACTTAAATCCAGTGGGTCAGGGTGACCCTATTCTAGTACACCCAATCGGTTCTTCTTGGCAATTGTTTCTTTTGGAGGGGACCACTTGCGTCACTTCGGCAGTTGAAAAGCGCCGGCGATTCCGGTTCAGGTCTTGCATTCCATGGCGCCCCGCAAGATGGTGCATGGCGGCCACGACCTTGTCAGGCACACGCTGAAGGATTACTGTAGGAGTTTTTGTTTATTTCATCGGCTGGACGTGGATTTCCTTTTCTCCTTTCTTTCAGGGATAGACGTGTAAAGAATGTTGGGTTGATTCAACTAGATTTCGAGACTATGGAGACGTACCCCCCCAAAAGAGAGCTCTTCAGCGAGTCTTGGGTTCATGCACGGGTTGAATCCTTTTTCGTTTTTTTTCACCTTCTTTGGCCGTTGGTCGGACCACGGTGGTTGGTCGGACCAGAGTTCCCGTTCCTTTCAAGGGGCCCGGCCCATATGTTCGTGGCTTAGGCAACACTTATAGATAGCTCTAGTAAATTAGAGATCGGGGATTTACATGGTTTGAAGATGCTTGAAGAAAAGCCTTTGATCAAAAAAAGCCGACTTTCCCCTGTTTGAAGATATTTTTTGAGCTAAAGTCTTTGGAAGAAACCGGGGATCCAAATCCAAAGATATCTTCACAGGGGATCCAAACATGCGAACGGTGCCTCCAAACGGTGCCTCGACTTGGGTGCCAGACCTGGGCCTTGGCACCCTAATAGCGATGGCCTCCAACCTGGTGATCCCAGCGCATCATAGCAATCTAGGGCAGTGTCCCATTGGAATCCAAGGATAGACTCCCACTCACGTTCCATGGACGTTGGACTGGAAAACCCCCTATGAACTATTATGAAAGTAAAGCTAAATGGTCTTCCCGGGCTGAACTACCCAGCTGTGAATATTCCCAAGATACTCTCCCTGATAACATGGAAGTGGAAAACACCCTCTGTTTGGAAGTATGGAAAACTCATGGTCTTCCGAACTCGGGGCCGTTTGCCATCCACACTCTTCCATGTGAGTTCCAGGAAGGGTACGTAACAACCACCGGTTTGTGAAGATCCCATGTTCCCAGGAAGGTCCCCCGCTTCCGTGGAACGTCCACGGGCGTTGTTCGTGAAAACAACGGACCATTGAAGTCCGTTTGGGGTGGAGAAGCTCATCCGAGGCTTTGACGGTCTTTTTTTTTTTGCCAAGCAAAGCAGAACTAAACCAAGGATTCAGACATTGTTAGGCCCTTTAAGGCCTTGGCTGCTGTTGATCCTATAGATGGTCGTCCGGCCTTGAGCCGCGCCGGGATCTGTGAACAGAGCCATCTCGGCAGTTTTTTTTTTTTTTCCGGTTCACGTCAGGATGAGGAAGCCAGAGGTGGTGCCTCCAGTACTTCGAGTCGGGCAAGAACTGCAGCAGTGGCAGAGTCAACAGCAACAGCTTTGGCAATCCCAGTGACTAGTCTGAGATTCAGCTGAGTGTCGAGACCTTGGACCTTAAACCCTGGTACTACTGGATTTCAACCCATTCTTTTCAGCATTCCTAGGACCACCAGTCCGCCCGACTGTCGCACCGTAGACCCAATGACCGGTAAGAACCCTCGTGACGATGTGGATCAGCACGTTCCATTCATGACGGTCGCGCGAGGCAGCAGCAGATGCCGCAGTGGAAGTGGCAAGTGCAGCAGCTGCAAGTGCAAGAACCACGCGGAGCGGCGCGCTCCGCGCGTTCCGCCGAGCCACTTGGCGTGCCTCTTGCCTCGCCTAAGATTGCCTTTGACGCTATTGGCCCTTGGCTCTTTTTTTTAAATGCAGGGGATACCCCCAAGTGAACAACATATGGGTATATGATGGTACCAGATCGACATCTTTTTATTCCCAAGTACGGACATTATTGTGCGATCCAAGTTCAGCAGACATTTTGTGAGTCAAAGGCCCGACGGATTCGGATGGTCAAATCCAAGAAGCTCATGATTTTTTCTAGTGAAGGACAGGACACGGCGGGCGCCCACAGTGGTATTCCACCTGCCACGTGTTTGGTGTGACATGGTTGGCTAGCACCTGACGTCAATAATAGCCCAGGAAAATTACAAAGAAAGTCAAAGAAAACAGAATCCGATGAATCGTTTCTTGTCTGACGGGAACTGGAACCACGGGGTGTGTTCAAGCTGGGAAAGACAGATACTCTATATTGTTATATTGTGAAAAACTGTGAAAAAACACACATGATGTCATGATGTGTCTTTTATTCTATTTGATATCAGTTGATATCTTTTTTTTACAAGCATCCCATTTCGGGTTGGTGATTGGAACATAGTCTCTAAAGTCATCCTATTTGGGTGTGTATGTTTAATCCGGGAGAGCTCCTGGCCCTATCGGTAGACTAATTCTATTCTCCTTTCTTCCAGGGGGTCGAAACGGGGGTCACCACATCCTGCATGTTGCATTGGTAGTAATGGCCTCCAACCTAGCAGCGATGCTCTCCACATCCTGCATGTTGCATGGGTGTTGCCTGAATTTGCAGCCAGACCCCTAAGGAGAATCCATTTGATCCAGCTCAGCCATCACCCGCCGCTCGGCTCGATCCGAGGTCAGCGCGCGATCACGGCAACGGCGCCGGCGGCGCCGTAACCCTGCGCTCCCACCGGGCCGATCCCAGCGACAAGGTGTGGTCAGGGGATGGAAAACGGGAGTCTGAAGAAGTCCAAGCGAGTCATCCTTTTAATGTGTTATTGAAGAACATGTATCCAAAGTCTCGGCCGGTTCTTATGGAGTTCGTGGGCATGGTTCTTTCCTTCGGCTCTCGATGGATTCTTGGCATGGCTGAAAAAGATCGCAGGTGACTGGTGAACAATCTATCACATGGCGCCGCACCGGATTTTATTGTGGAACGGACATGCCCCCCCCAACGTAAGGTTCGACAGCCATCTTTGCAGGGTTCCGTGCGAAACTCCTAATAATCGTGTTGGGGTCAAGGTTCTCAAAACGAGGAAAAACGACGATCCTCTTTCTCAGGTCCTGCCAGTAATTAAGCACTTTGATAAGGGTCTTCCTGCGAGGATTCCCAGGGTATTCCTGGCAGAAGAGACAACGAAATGAAATGATATGAGTAAACACCCAACCACTGGGTAGACTAGTCTATGTTCCTGCTTCCAGGGCCGAAGGGAGGTCGGTCTCCCTATTTGAGGATGACTACCCAATGCCATAGCCCATATTTATGCATTTGTTGTTCTACCGTGCGGAGATCTCTCAGCCTTGCTCAGATCCCTCAGGTTGATTCACCTAGTAACAAGTGCTACTAGTATAGCAAATAGCTACTAGTAGCTTCTTGTTCCTAGTACAGCCAGGAGCCCCGTTCGTAGCGTCCTTGCTCCTAGTAGCAAGGCCAGGAGCCCCTAGTAGCGTCCTTGTTCCTAGTAGTACAGCCAGGAGCCCCTGGTAGCGTCCGATCGCTCCTAGTAGTAATGCCAGAAGCCCCTAGTAGCTTCTTGTTCCTAGTAGCGATGCCCTTGTTCCTGTAAAACGACAGAATCTTGGAACTCTCATCGATCTCATCCATAGATGATCGATCGGCATTCTCCGAACTCTTCAGGGTCCATTTCCAGCACCTGCTGTATGCCGCCCCGCAAAAACAACAACAATGCAACTCATGCACCCACCTCATTTGCGTCCGCGCGCCCCCGTCATGAGTCCTCTACCCACACCCCAGACCGCCCCCGGACCACCCACCGACACGGTTCGCCGTGGAAACCTTCCCTTCCCCAGACCGCCCAGCTCATTCCTGTCTGCCCGATGTTCTTCGCCTGTCGGGCGCAGGTGGAGCACTCACTCCTGAAGCTGCAGAAGATCCAACAGTTGGACCGACTACGACGGGAGCATGTCGCCCGTTAGGCGGCGCGGTTCGGCGGCTCGCGGCGGCAGCGGTTCGCGTCGATGGTGAGAGGAGAGACCGTGGACTGCGGGGTTCTTAGTGGCTTCATGTGGCTTCCCAGGCGATAAAGCACCGAAGAGAGTAGTTTCTCATGATATTCAGTCTAATTCTGGTCATTTTCTTTGCGGAGCAACGGGTTCTTTGAATGAACAGATGGTGCTCATTCAAAGTCGTTTGTTTAGTATTGAACTGGAGCCTTACTTGAAGCCAGCCTTGATCGTTGAAGATTTTGCTTGTTTTGATAAGCAAACATCTTAGTGGTCAGTGATGTCGAAGACATTCCACTGGCCTTTGAGCAGTTGCAAAAGGACGCCAGCACCTTCAGCTAGTCTTACCTTCCCGATCAGGTCTACGTCTTCTTAGACCACTTCTTTCCAGTCCTCCACTTTGAAGCAAAGCACATGACACGACATCACGACTTTTTGGCAAACAGAAACTACCCTATTGCCGGGCACCTTTTTCCCGAACAGAAAAGTCTGATCCAAATGTTCACATGGATACTTGGACACACAAACAGCTACTAGGAACAAAAGGCATCGCTGCTAGGAGCAAGAAGCTACTAGGAGCTCCTGGCCTTACTACTAGTAGCAAATAGCAAATCCAGAATCGTTTTCTTGGTGCTCCATTGCTTCACTGAAGCCCTTGGGGTGGCCACAAGCCATAGAGGGCACAAGAGTCGCATGTCCAAGCAACATTCACCACCTCTGCGCGCCCAAATGGATGGACATTGCCAAGAGATCCAGAGTCCAGAGACACTGATCGTCAAGGTACTATCCCAAGCCTTCACAGTCATTAAAGAGGGCATTTCAGACCCGCCGAAGCATGTTCTTGCTCAAGCGGTTCCGAACTCCATGCGGCTGGCGTTTTTGTTGCTATGCACCTCTGTGTCCTTAATTCCTGGAAGGGCAGAGGACCGGCGGAACGATTGAAACTGGCAAAGGGTAGGGCTCTTGACGCTTGGAGTATAACCTAATTCCCGGCAACTGACTCATAATTCTTATTTCTTGGAGGATGAGGCAAGATGTAAATAGGCCAAACTCAGGACGCTCCAAACTGGATGGTCGCTCCAAGGGGCGGACGCTTCCCAGCAGAAGCTGCATGGTCGCTACACCGCGCCCGCGCACCGTTGCGCAGCTACGCCTTTTGGGAGTGAGCCATTACAGAATCTGCGCAGTGCAGCACGTGCCCCGGAATTCCTTGACCTCTTAGCATTGGAACAGAAGACCTTAAGGAACAGAATCCTAGTTCCTGACCTCTTTGCAATTCCAGTTGGAACAGAATCCTGTGGCTCCTTAGGACATCTGACCTTGGCAAGAATCACCGGTGACAACAGACCCGCTATCCGAGAGACCGACGGTGTCAACCAACCTGGCGATGCCTGAATGCCACTGCTGTTGGGGTCATACCTGGCAATACTTTCTGCTGGTGGCGTATACCCCCAAAACCTCTGCAGCACATCTGAGATGTGCGTTGCACACCGTTGCGCATACATGTCCCATAATGCATCTTCTGACTTCCCAAACACAACACATCAATCATCAACCTATTCCAAGTGTTTGTTCTTCACCTTCGTTCTCTGCAGGAGGCCTGTGACTTTGACGACTCCACCCTCCTGCAGCTCGAAGGCACAGGCCCCAGGGTCGATCGGGCTCCAGCAACGCGCGCGCGCGCGCGAGACCCGGACCGTTTCCGGGCTGAACGGCTGAGTCACCAGAGTTGGCCCCAACGGCTGAGTGGAGTCGGCCACCCGGTTGCCTCGCCGAAGGCACGGTCCGATGGACCGAGCTGAGCTGTGACTCCAATGAACTGATTGAACTGATTTAAGACGAAGGTCCGGCCTGACGTGCGTTGTCATGCGTGGTCCGGCCCGAACGCACCTGACGTTGGATCATGTTGGATCACCTGAATCGAACACGAGCCTCGACCGGCACTTGAACACGCAACTCTTGGTGGTCGAGACCGGTGGTGTGGGTTTGTGAAGTCCAATTCTCCACGACATGACCCGACCATTTGCACCTGGGCGGGTAAGATAAAGACGTTTTCTTTGGAGGACTTTCAATTCCGCCGTTTCGTGGCCAGGCAAAGTCAACCGAAGCAGAGTTGCAGAACGTGAACCCAGTGAACCAGGACCCCCAGGACCTTGCGCGCGCACTTTGGTTCCGCCAAGTCCTCCTGCCTTGAGAACCTCCTCGCAAAGCAACTTGTTTTGTTTGGCATTCAGCAATATATCTGGCAAATGCCAAGAGTCCTAAGAGTAGCGTAGAATCTTGATTAACAACCCTCCATACCCCCCACTTGAATTGAAAACCTCTTCACATATATATATATATATATTGTGAATTTGTATGCATTGGAACATGCATATCATGATATGAGATGGCGGCCCTCTCATGTGACCATTTTGGCACAAGGGCCCTTGAGTCTGGCTCATCCGAGCCCCCGACGGTTGCGCAATGGAAAAGTGAGCGCACCGCTTGCTTTTGATCGTGACGGAGTTCTTTGATCCCCGTTGGTTGAGTTGTGACAGTTGCCTTTACAAGTTGCTGTTGATCCTCCGCTCACCATTTTACATGGTAGCGGAGCTGCCAAGCTCCAGGATTGCTTTGTGAGGTCCCGGCCTGATCCCGGGTGCGGTGCAAACCGCAGAGCAGCTCGTGCCATCTAGGTACATTGCTTGTGCAGTGGTGCAAGGTTGAGTTGACGTTGATTGTTGAGCATTGAGCATTGATTGTTGGTTGTGGAACATTGTTGTTTGTTGTTGGCAGTTTGAGCCATGGACTACAAAGACACTCTCAAAGACCTCTACTTCGATGGGAAGCCAAGCGGATATCGTGAGTTCAGACGCAAGCTGATCCTTGGTGTTGCATCCCTTGAGGACAAGCAACAACACCTGGCCGGTCCTCGAGTCCTCGGAAGATTGTCTGGCGAAGCTTGGAAAGCGACCGAAAACATTCCAATTGCTGACCTTCGATGTGAACAAGGCTGGCTGCAAATTGTTCGGACGCTTGATCAGCATTACCGTTATTTGCCCGAGACCGAGCTCCACGAGGCCATAGATGAGTTCCTTTTTGGGTTGAAGCGGAAAGGACATGAGGGAGCCACTTCCTTCACATCCCGGTTCAAGACAAGTCTGCATCGCCTGGAAACGCTCATCTCACAGGAGCGTCAGCTGTCGAAGAAGCAACCGAAGTCCGCAGTCGAAGAAGAAAAGAAAAAGGAAGATTCGAGTAGTCTGGAAGAGTCGGACGAACATGCCCTACCTCCAGACGATCCCAATGAACAAACTGATGAAACTGAACAAGAAGCTGGAGATGAAGTCCGGCCAGAAGCCAAGGCCAGAGCAGCACCTCCTCCAGGTCCTTTTGATCCTCCCCTTGATCCTCATCGTCGGACCGGATCCACTCCATCGGTCCGAAGTGCGAAGTCGAGCTCAAAGGCTTCACAGGGGAAGTCCACTGGGACTCAGAAAGGTGACCAGCGAAAAGATCATCTCCGTATGCAACGTCTTCTTGGAACGTTGGAGCAGTCGCATACAAAGCCAAAACCGATTTTTCCACAGTCAGTTTTGGGACACTTGTTCATGAGAAAGTTTGGTTTGTCGCGTGAGCAACGCAGCCACATCATTCGTTCAACAGGCGGCTCCAGTCGATTTGTTGACATTGAGAAGATTTTGCGTGCTAGTGACTATGAGGAGAGATTGGATGACCGGCGACCACGGCTGGACGATCGTCGACAGGTGAGACCACGACGCGAAGCCTATGCTGTTGAACAAGTTGCTGAAGCTTCATCCACCTCCGTCGACCCACTTTCTGACTCCGGGTCTGGTGAAGAGGCCTACCAAGTTGAGGGTGGCGAAACATCTCTGTGTTCAGGTTCTGAGGAAGAGCTGCAGGAGATCTATGAGATTCAGAAGAAAGCAAAGAAAGAATTCAAGAAACAGTTTCGCACCTACAAGGAGTCAAAGAAGAAGGTGAGGGAAATCAAAAGAGCACGACAACCATACATGCCGGTGGTGGCCATTCCACCCACCGAAGGCGGCCAGTCCCAGGCTCCACTGGGAACTCAGGCTGCATCGTCCAGAACACCACGCTATGAGAAAAGGTCCTTTGACAAGAAGTCACCACAAAAGGACCCAAAGAAGAAACCACCGAGGCGTGAGGACGCCAACCTGACAGAAGCTGTGGAGATTGTTGACAGGACATTGACCGAGTTCAACTATGCCCTGACCGAGTCCACCGCTGCTGAACTGGAAATTCTCCTGGCCTCAATTCCATCGGGTTTTGCAATCATTGATACTGGTTGTACAACATCCGTTGTTGGCGAGGAAACAGCACAGAGATATCAGCAGGTTTTCAGACAATGCAATTTTCCTCCACCCGTGCGTGTCACAATGCCTACAGTTGAGCTTCGTGGCTTTAATGGTCAGAGCGAAACAACAGCTGTTGGTTTGAAGTGGACAGTACAGCTGGGTTCGTTGAAAGGGAATATCACGACATATGTTGTTCCTGGAAGCGCACCATTCCTGCTGTCACGAAGGGTGTTGGAGGGTATGCAGGCCACACTGGACTTGGGCCAAATGACCATCACGAGTCCAAAACATGGTATGCAAGATGTACCCCTGAAACAGGCCGCAAATGGCCATCTGCTGTTGTCTCTGGTGCCACAGGTTGCTGAGTGGGAGACAGTCCTCAACGACTCGAATACAAATGAGCCCAATCCGCATGAAGCCCAAGCGATGGACCGCCAGTCCATCTCCGTTGATCTCGAGCACCACCAAGAACTCAGAGGACAGGACACGAACAAAAACAGTGTTTTAAGTGCACCAAAAATGGAGCCAACCCCGTGTGATACTCGGAGGGCGTTTCAAACTGTGTGTAAACATACCAAACGAGGAAACGTCGATTGCAGTGCTTTTCGTGCCGAGCTGTCCCAATTGTTTTCATGTCCCGAACACCCGGTGGTGCATGCCTATGTAGCATATAAACCTAGACTAGAAAGGATTCCTGCCGAAGCCGAACGAACTTCACTTGATATGAATGTAGTCTCTATGGATAAAGATGGAAACATGCTCATGTC